CTAGCACGCCACACAGACGAGAATACGTTGCTAACGACCCCATCAAGTCATGTAATAAAACCAAGAAATAATGGAAGACGCAAATCCAAAGTGGCCGGCGACAAAAATGAGTTTGACACCTCTAGTATGGTTGCCATCTATACCGTAAAATAAGGAATTGTCCTGTCATTGAGAAAAATGTCACATCCCGTATTAAAACAATACGGGACGCGGTTTGTCCCGTATTTTCCCAATTGTCCCATGTTTGTCCCAGCAACGTGGTATTGGCGGGAGGTATGCAGAACCTCCTGCGGACCTGCGAGTGTAGCCTCCGTCTGGTGCAGTCTTCTCTGCTCTGTGCCAAATCCTCAGTCGCACGCAGGGTAGCGGCCTGTCATGATCGTTGCACACTAAACACCAGCCCTAAACACCAGCCCTAAACACCAGCCCTGATCTAGCACCAAAGTGCACATGAAGGGGTTGAGGAAGAGAATTGCACCTTGTCCCAGTTTTTTTCTTTTGTCCCTCATCACTTCCTGTAGCCCAGGCGGGTAAACTCTGGATGTGGAGATTGGTTGGAAGAACGGTCTGTAATTGATGCCTAGTGAGGCCGGCAGAGCAGCAGAATAAAGAATGCTTCAGATCTCAAAGAAAGCGTCTTTATTTAATGCGACGCAGAATATTACAAGGGCCTCACAAAAAAAAAATCTTCAGTTTTGGACCCTTGTGATGCAGGGCAATATGATATCACTTGAGGACGTCAGAGCTGTTGCTGCTAATGAAATGCTCAGTTACAATGTAGCTTTTTGCCACGAGGTGATGAAAAGGCATCACTTATTTACCTATACACAACAAATTGAAGAAATCTAAGAGTGAAGATAATGATCAGTATTTCAAGGTATAAATTTAATTCAGAGATTATGACAAACCAAAGCAAAAGAGGAAACATTTTCCATCCTTTTGACTGAGGTAAAAGGCTAATAATTATTGGCTATTTTTGTGCTAATAAGCTCTAAGACACTACGCTTAACTTATTGAGGAATTATTTACCTGCTTAGCATCTTGTTGGGTGTCAAAGTTGACACAACATCAACGATGTCTTTTTCACGATCATATTGTATCCGTTTAATATTTTAGCTTAATATTTCATTTAACATCAAAGCTGGCTATCCCACCATCTTTGCCGTTTCTTTTCATGGCCACAACATGGACCCGGAGTACTGTAGTAGAGGGAGCAAGACGTACAAAGTACTGTAAAACGGGAGAATGGCATAATGTAGAAAAGCTAATACTGTACACAAACAACTGACCTGGCAGGCAGTCTTCCTTTTTCTGTCATCAGCTGTCTGTAACTTCCAAGAATTAAGAAAGCCTTCCATGTGTTCATAGAAGTGGCGTTCCGGCTTCTGATTAGTTTCACGACTAACACTTCGATGGGCAGCCGAAGCTTGATTGAGGATGCAAGACGATATTGGACCGTGATTGAAAATTCACATTAAACCCAGGGTGTTTTGCAGGGTGGCTTTTTTTTTTTTTCTCAATCAGATTTGGCTGCCATGACCACCTGTTCTCTCAACCAATCCCCACATTCCTGGTTTACCCAATTGGGCAAGTGATGAGTGACAAGCATACTTTGCATTTTAAAATGACATCAAAAAGATTGCAGACAAAAAACGTCGGGCCCAACCTCATCACCAATTTGGACGAGGTGCCGTTCACTTCCGACATCCCGGTGAACTACATTTTAGAGAAGGGGACCAGCAATACGCACAACAGGGCACCAGAAGTCATCTTTGACTCTTGTTCTTGGTTGCCATGGTAATGGACAGTAACTGCCTAAGATGCTGCCGAAAAAAATGTTCAGCCAGACTGCCAGAGTCATCGTTAAGGCCAATTGAAAAGGCTGGATGGATGAAGAGAAAATGAGAGAGTGGCTGACTGAGATGTACACAAAGAGACAGGACGTTTTTTTTTTTTTTTCCATGCGTCACCGTCCCTGTTGATCTGTGACTCCATGCGCGCCCATGTCATAGCCACTGTGAAAAACCAAGTGCAACAAATTAACTCTGAGCTTGCCATCACTCCGGGAGCCATGACAAGGAACTCCAACCGCTGGACATCGGTGTAAACAGGGCATTCAAAGTCAAGTTGCCAGCAGCGTGGAAGCGATGTATGACAGATGGCAAAAAGAGCTTTACTAATAGTGGGAGGCAGCGCCGGGTGAGTTTACACCACAATTTGTGAATGGATTGTGGATGCTTGGGCTAACGTGTGTGTTTGCACTGTTGTTCGAGCTTTTGTAGTTGTGTGGCAACCTTGACTGTGTTGGATACCCAGCTGTTCATTTTGGATCCAGAAGATGAGTACTTTGATGGATTTTTGGATGAGGATTGATAGAAAACATGAGAACATTGTTCAGTACAATGTGTTAAATACTTCAATAAAGTACAACGGAAATCAGTTTTGCTCCCACTGCCTTTTTAAAAACATACGATAGCATGCATGCGTGCTACCGTATTTTTTTAAAGCTAGCATGTTTTACCATGCCTGCGTCCAACAACAGTGTTCCTTATTTATGCGTTAAATAGAGAAATAGCACCCGTAACTGAAACTGCACCTTTTAATACGTTGCGGTGTAGGTTGCGAAAATCCGGTAAATGTTTTCTAAGCAGGTGGAGAATAGCCAGAGATGAAAGTGGACTTTTCTGAAAATTCCGGAAAAAATAAATAAAGAAATAAATAAATGTGTGTGTGTGTGTGTGTGTGTGTGTG